AAATGAAAAGAGGAAAAAAAATACGGGTAAGACCCCAAGTAAGTGCGAGAATCGAGGTTACAAACCAGTAGCTTACGCCTTATCTTGTGGTGAATGGAGGGATAATTAGGAGTGGCCGTCTAACCGCGAAAATTCGTGATCTTATTAAGCCGGCGAGTGTATACAGCACTTAAAAAAAATATAGTCCACAATGACTCATTGCAAATTATAATAAAACATCATTTTTTCCACAACTTCAAACATGGATATGTCCGATAGATAATAGCAGTCGGGAAATTGCAATCACGTAAGTAATTGTTGAGAGCAAACTTTGCCGAGAAAGGAGATCAGACTGAAAAAATATTTATCCACCTCCATATCGCTCATGTGTAATCTCGTGTTTTATCGTTAATTTCCTCTTTCCCTACATTTGAATTAAAACCCGTCCAGGACGAGTTAAAATGAAACAAAAACACCCTTGAAACATCGTAAAGTGCGCAAAACTCGCCTGTAACTCGCAATTTCTGCCACGGACCCACGGGTCCCCTGTCATTTATTCACTCGCCGCTTTTCCGAATCCACTCGGGCGTGAAGGAATATTACGTTTGTCGGACAAATGGGGCTCCCAGAGGATAATTGAATCGTGCTCCTTTAAATGCGAGCCTTCATATTGACTGCCCTCCCACTTTTATTTTTCTAGATCTCATTCAAGTGAATGGGGGCTTTTTTTTATTAATTATTGAACAGTTTTACCTGGAAAACGTGTAGATTGCGCGGTATATCCTTGAATTGTAATTTTCCACGAGCCCATTGAGCATAACCGAGGGAAACATTGAATTAATCATGTTTTTATTATTGATTTTGTTTCGAGTAATTGAACAGATGAATTAATAAGTGATTATTGTTTCAGGGAGGAACTCGCCATGAAGATCGGCCTTACCGAGGCTCGTATCCAGGTGCGTAAATACACTAATTAATAATGAATAACATGAAATAATACAAGATATTTAATTCGTCATGCATATCAAGTGACGAATAGCCCCTCGGTGTTTATTATTGTACGTTGAAAACTCTGATGGTAGATTATTCAACGTGAATACATGTTGCGTGAACAGCCGGCTAATTTGCTCAATTAGTTTAATTTATTCTCGGTACATACACGACTTTAATACACAAGAGATTTTATATTTACCCTCCCCTTTTACCCCATTAGTTCACTTTCTTTGATAATACCACTGCCATGCTAACTGTGATCTCCCTTGCCCCACTACTGCCATCACTCGCGGGTTAAGACTGCATTTTTCCGTGTTATTTTGAGAGTACTTGCGAAATTATCGCGTGACGTTAAACATTCTGGCATCGTGACCGACATATCTTCGAATTCAATGAGGCAAATGCTTGGATTAAGAGAAAGAAAGGAAAAATAGGGGATATTTGGGGACATTATGGACTTTGCGGTAATTTTTTGCGAATTGGATTTAGCGATGTGGAAATATTTTTAAAAGCCTGGATGTTTTGCAACGATTTTAGCGAATTAGAGAGTACTTTAGGACAATGCGGGTATATCGTGCTGTTGGTAGCTATATATTGATATACATTTTGACCCCAACCATCTTGCGATGATCTTGTAAGAAGATTTGAGGCGTAAAAAAGGCCACCGTTTTTTTAAGAACCTGAAACTAACGGAATATTCGCCAGCGGAAGATCAATTTACGGGATTTTTAAAGGTGTGAATCAAACAATCACAGGTATAAATGTTTTTCAAGTGTGAGAAAGGTTGCAAATGATTTTAAAATATTTGTACGCAGATGTGCCTAAATCGCAACTTCTGTTAGCGGATCTTTCGCTAATAGTTTCAGCTTCATTGTTTCTTCGAAATTTTCAAACAAATTTCTTGCTAAAATTATTAATACTTTTCAAACTCAAAGCACATTGGTCATCATCATTAGATCAAAACATTATCTCTGAGAATATTTCTATCCTTAATTATTTTTTCGGAGGGTGCCTACAAGAATATCTCAAAGTTTTCTTAATTTACAATACTTATTTTTGTGACGTATCTCGAAAGACGTCATCTTCGCGGCGTTAAATATCAATCGAGTTCAAATGGAAAGACTGATCGACACAATGAACTTATGTTACATCCCACCAAAGCAATCCCCCGTCCGTCATCTCTCGTAATGAATAAACGTGGGTACTAGAACTTCAATAGAAAGTGAGAACCACTGAGTGAAAAGAATGACACGCATCGAGGCCTGTAGTTAATCATTTCGTAGAAACTTGATGGCAAAGAGGAACGTACCCAAGGTAGCATCAAAACCGGTGACCATTGACCATACGCAAACGGTAGTCTTCCCCACTGTATTGGTGTATCATGTGGATTGCAATTCCCATGTGTGCGCTGCGATAATTCGCGATAGCCATGGCTGGAAATTAAAGAAAATTGAATTGTCAGCACGCGTGCGCCGCCGCGATTAAACCAGCCAGTGAGAAAAACTTAATTCTTAATTGCGATGTTAATAATTAATTACACTTCAATGCTGGGTAGTACGAATTGCAACGAATAGAGCTGTTGGTCACGTAATAGAAAAGTTGAGCCGAGTCGGTAGTTGATTAAAAATGTGAAAAAAAATTTTGTTTTTGCAGTAACAGCGGAAAAAAGTGAAATTTGTCTTCCTAGAAGCTTTAGTCCTCCCTCGCATTCCTCAAACCCATCAAAAATCTTGTGTGAGCGGGAGAAAAACACGACTCCCGGCCGAGGTGGTCTCTCTCCTCTCTCCTTTCGGACCCCAAAAGTCCAGGAGTCGAGCGTTTGTCGGCAACTGGGGGTCCCTTTTTCGTATTATATATACCTTTCCGCGACTCAATGATCGCTCGAGCAGGGGTTCCGGGAAACACAACGCATCGCGTGAGCCCCGGGCCCTTGATTTTATTTCGAAAAATTGTGTGCTCAAGACCAACTTTTCCCGAGGTATCCCTCGATCATACATTTTTTACCTCTTTTATTTTTTTGTCTCATTTCTTTCAACATCTTTTATACACCGAAGAGGCCAGCCGAGGGCATCATAAAAAAGAGGAAATTTTGTGATTGAGAGGATTGAAGGCTGCAGGAGCAAACGAACCGTAGAGGGAATAATAGAGTTTTGAGAAAAGGGTGTTAAGCGTGAACCGCACGGTTGGTCTGCGTGTCGAGAACCCCAGGTGCGAGTTCCTGTGTTCCGCAAGATAAAGTGTCTCTGATAGTACAAATTACACTTTATTCAGCAAATAAAATGATCGAGCCCCAACTGTGTACTATCCACGGGGTTTTGTAATTTTAGCTCTTCATGGTTGTGTATTGATTGTGAGAAATGCTCGCCATCTAGCGGTGAAACATTGACTCCACAAATTACCGCTCGATTATTTTCTCGCATTTCCGTCGAGTGGTAGATCATCAGCTCATTATTAAATCATTATTTGTGGCTATTTTTCTCCCATTATTTTTTATCAAAGAGGGAGTTTTACTAAAAAATGATTCAGCCCCAACTGTGCACTATTTTTTTATAATTCAAAAGCTTTATCGATCTGTTTATGTTTAAATTTAAATTTACGGACGTATTTACTTATATTTTTTATTCCTGTCCTTGGACATTACTAATTTTCTGTTTGTTTATATAAATTTATAGGTTAATTTTTTTACGTAAAAATTTAATTAGATTTGTGGACTCTCCGCGAGCTTTTCTAATTCTACTCCTTCATGGCTCCGCACTGATTGCGAGAGACAGTGGCCATCTAGCGGTGAACCATCAATTCCCCAAATGCCCACTCGAATTTCTTCTAATTTACGTTCTCCCATAGATCATCAGCTCATTATTAACCCATTATTTGTGACTATTTTCATTCCATTCTTTTTAAACGAAAGAGGGCAAAATAAAAATTAAAATGAATTCGACAGATTAACGATCGTTATACCTGCGCTCACTCTGGCCATACAAATCGAATTGATAATACATCCTGAATGCTAGCGGCCATTATAATTAATGTGCCGCAATTAAGGTGAAACGACTGGATTTCGTGGTGTGTGCGTCGGTGCATTTTGTTTTAACCCCGTTGGATGTTTAGCTTCCCGCTGGGGGGCAATCGTCTTCGCCATGGGGGGGCACCGCCCCCCCTCCCCCTCCCCACCTCATCCTCATCCCTCTCGTTACCAACTTCCCAATCTTCAATTTTCCTTTCTCTAATAATATTGCATGCTCGCCTTGTTCAATTCAACTTTTAACCAGCCATTACAAAATCATATCTGATCATCGCTCTTGTACAAATACTAAACAGAAGAGCATCGTCATTCTATTCTTACGTGCGTGACTCGTGCTTCACTGTCCTTTTACATTAGAATTCTCCTCGGATATTATTCACCAGTAGTCGGCATCTCTTTTACGTCAGTAACAACTTCTAAACAATTTAACATATTCAAGTGAATGAAACTGTCGTAAAAAAATATTAAAATACTTGAGCGATTTCTCTATTTTCTCTTTTTCATCTTATGAAAAAACATCGGATGGAATTTTACAACTTCAACTTAATCTCTTTTAGTTGAATTGTTATTATAAAGGACAATAAAATGTAGCTGGGGAGAGATGGGTTTGAACTGCTTCTAGGAAGGAGAGTCAGGAAGGCCACAGCGAAATTCCGCAGGTGCGCTCTCGGTCACGATCGCCCCCGTACCGTGGATGATTGGATAAGTTGAATTGTTGTTGACGAATAAACTCTGGATTCATTGCGTTCTGTCACGATATCCCGCACGCGTCGAGTTTAAGCCTTCAAGAGACGAAATATCCTTCTCTCTCCCTCTCCCCCTAACCCCCCCAGCCCCCCCCCTTCCCCCCCNGACTATTTTCATTCCATTCTTTTTAAACGAAAGAGGGCAAAATAAAAATTAAAATGAATTCGACAGATTAACGATCGTTATACCTGCGCTCACTCTGGCCATACAAATCGAATTGATAATACATCCTGAATGCTAGCGGCCATTATAATTAATGTGCCGCAATTAAGGTGAAACGACTGGATTTCGTGGTGTGTGCGTCGGTGCATTTTGTTTTAACCCCGTTGGATGTTTAGCTTCCCGCTGGGGGGCAATCGTCTTCGCCATGGGGGGGCACCGCCCCCCCTCCCCCTCCCCACCTCATCCTCATCCCTCTCGTTACCAACTTCCCAATCTTCAATTTTCCTTTCTCTAATAATATTGCATGCTCGCCTTGTTCAATTCAACTTTTAACCAGCCATTACAAAATCATATCTGATCATCGCTCTTGTACAAATACTAAACAGAAGAGCATCGTCATTCTATTCTTACGTGCGTGACTCGTGCTTCACTGTCCTTTTACATTAGAATTCTCCTCGGATATTATTCACCAGTAGTCGGCATCTCTTTTACGTCAGTAACAACTTCTAAACAATTTAACATATTCAAGTGAATGAAACTGTCGTAAAAAAATATTAAAATACTTGAGCGATTTCTCTATTTTCTCTTTTTCATCTTATGAAAAAACATTGGATGGAATTTTACAACTTCAACTTAATCTCTTTTAGTTGAATTGTTATTATAAAGGACAATAAAATGTAGCTGGGGAGAGATGGGTTTGAACTGCTTCTAGGAAGGAGAGTCAGGAAGGCCACAGCGAAATTCCGCAGGTGCGCTCTCGGTCACGATCGCCCCCGTACCGTGGATGATTGGATAAGTTGAATTGTTGTTGACGAATAAACTCTGGATTCATTGCGTTCTGTCACGATATCCCGCACGCGTCGAGTTTAAGCCTTCAAGAGACGAAATATCCTTCTCTCTCCCTCTCCCCCTAACCCCCCTAGCCCCCCCCCTTCCCTCCCGCCGTCTATCCTCGCCCATTTCTTTATATTAAGAACAAAAGAAGAAACGATAGTTCTGAGAGTTTTTCGCATTTGTTTGCTTTTTCGTACCGGTGTGTTCAACCCAACAACCGGCACGAGTCCTCACCTTATATTTTATAACTCGATTCCTCTCCGTCTTCTATCTTCTTTTCCCCTTCACTCCCCCAGCATTCTCGGTTTTACTGAATTAGTGGAGATATTTCTTAATTAAAAGTAGGAAAAAAAGAAAGCATTTATTTTTACTCTCCAACTGGTGGATGAAGAAGATGAAAGAGAGGTTTGAGAAAAGAAAAATAAAAAAATAGAAATGGAATGGGGAGAAGAAATAAAAGCAGATACTTCACGGAATGAGTCGGGTGTAATAGTAACTTCCGTTGAACTGATTAGAGGCCCTCTCAGATCACTTCGAAGAACTGATGAAAACGGCATCATCAATTGTTCCGCTTCAACTTCCTTTCTGAGGTGAATAAAATAGTGCCTTTTGCGGAGGATCTATGATACATTTGTTACTTGAGGAATATCAATAACCATGCTCGAGTTATCCTTATCCTGCTTCGTGAATTCCCGCACAAAATCCTGATACTAAAACACATCATCCTTAATGTAAGTTCACCAAACTAATACTTGTCCAAAACTAGGCCAGACAAAAGCCCTATTGTTAACGTTTCCTTTTTCTTTTCATGTTGTGCTTCAGGTGTGGTTTCAAAATCGTCGAGCCAAGTGGCGGAAGCAGGAGAAGGTCGGCCCCCAGGGTCACCCGTACAACCCATACTTGGGAGGAGGTGGTCCCCCGCCATCAGCTGTGGTAGCTCCAACGTTGCCCAATCCATTCGCTCATTTGGGATCGTTTGCCCTGCGCAAGCCCTTCGAGGCCTTCAGATACCCACCACTGGGTCACGGCCCAATTCTAACGGGAGGCTATCCGAATCATCCTTACCATCGAGCACCACCTCCTCTCCTTCCCCCAGGGATGCCACTGCCCTACACCTCAGCCGCGTCGTTCCAAACATTACTAGCGAATATATCAGCAGCACAGAGGCCGAAAATCGTCAGGAACTCACCTCCACCTCAGCCACCACCTCAGTCTTCGCTATCGGCACCGGTTCCACCGCCTGCAGCAGCGCCACCATCCCCCGTTGTTGGACATCCACTACCTCCCGCATCGTCGACAAACACGAGTTCACCGGCTGGCTCACCAACAGGCAGCATAACAACATTACCAGACATTGACAGAAGGACAAACAGCATTGCCTCCCTGAGATTAAAGGCACGTGAATACGAACTTCATCTTGAAATGCTTCGAAAGAACGGTGATCTCATAAGCTGAAGAATCGTATAATCGTCATTATATTTAACATTCAATAACGTGAAATTGATGATCAGGCATAATTGATCAAGCTCCGATGATCTACCAAAGACGGGCTCTTTGGAATTCATTTCTTAAGCTAGCGTGATGAATGAATTTTTAACATGCACAAAAAACGATAAGTGTTCTTATCTCTTCTATCTGGGGGATAAAATGAACCTGTTTATGTTTTATTTACACCGGAAGAGGATAGATCATCCTCGGAGAAATATGATGAACCGACCCTACATTCGACTTGTTTTATCCCCTAGATGAAAAGCCCTCGATGAGGGATAGAATACACTTGTCGTTTTTTGTGACAAACGAGCTTGAATCTCAATTTGCTGCTCTTCTTTTTCAAATTATCTTTACATGACGATCAAGCGTAATTGATCAAGCTCCGATGATCTACCAAGGACAGGCTCTTTGGAATTCATTTGTAAACCTGGTTTGGTAAATGAATTTTTTTCACATGTGTAAAAAACTAGAAGTGTTTTACTATCTTCTATCTAGGGGATGAAACGAACCAGTTTAAGTGCGATTTACACCGGAAGAGGATAGATCATCTTCGGAGAAATATGATGAACCGACCCTGCATTCGACTTGTTTTATCCCCTAGATGAAAAGCCCTCGATGAGGGATAGAATCCACTTGTCGTTTTTTGTGTCAACCGAGCTTGAATCTCAATTTGCTGCTCTTCTTTTTCAAATTATCTTTGTATGATGATCAAGCGTAATTGATCAAGCTCCGATGTTCTACCGAAGACGGGCTCTTTGGAATTCATTTGTAAACCTGGTTTGGTAAATGAATTTTTTTCACATCCGCAAAAAACGAGAAGTGTTTTACTCTCTTCTATCTAGGGGATGACATGAATCAGTTCAAGTGCAATTTCCAACGAAAGAGGATAGATTATCTCCAGAGAAAAATGATGAATCAACCGCACATTCGACTCACATTATCCCCTAAATGGAAAGCCCTCAGTGAGAGATAGAATACACTTATAGCTTTTTATGTCAACCGAGCTTGAATCTCAATTTGCTTCTCGTATTTCTCAAATGATCTTTGTTCAGGGAGTTTTCATCGTGATATGTTGTATCAATGCGTTGTGAGGTCGCCACTTCGACAGGTCCAGTAATCAATCATAATGATCACAACAAATTTTATTATCGATTCCTGGAAATGTCGTCGCTTTCAAGTGGTGATTGCAAAACGCTCAGCTGCAAACGCAATTCACTCAAGCCTTAATGAACCAATACTAGCGGTTTTAGATATTTCAGAAATATCTATTCAATCCAGATATTTATTGGTTTATCCGTTATACATTCCCAATCCTTAATTTTCATAACTTAACTATCACCATGACCCGAACATTCAGGAAACTATTAATGGTAGTTTATCATCGAATAATTTTCTAATGTTGCGTCATGGTATTGCTATATATGGGCCAATGAATGAAATTCAAGTGTTGAGGATTGAAAGTTTAATGATATTTGTAACATCCGGTTAAACGTTGAAGTCGTGTATTGATATTAATGTCGATCTTTGCAAAGAGATATTTCTTATATTGAATCTATATGTTTCCGTAGCATATATCATACTTATAGATACGTTGCAAATATTTATACTTATTGTATTAAACATATTATATTGTTATTAAAGTTTTACATAAGTGAGCGAGAGAAGAGGTGATTGAGAAGTTGCCTAAAGTTGTAAATACAGAACATTCGGAGGTACATTCCACTGGCTCAATCACAATCTTCTTATTTTTATGAACATTCCTGTGTTTCACGATTGCTGGATATGCAATAAACAACACAAACCAATCCGATTGTTGGAGATCGGCGGATAGGCGGTTGGAAAGAGGGAAACAACATTCCCTATCTCAATTACTTAGACTTAGAAGAAAACAAAATTTTGTGCCCTTACCAATCCAACATTCTAATTAGCTTGTTACTATCATTATCAGTCTCCCATTACCATTTTTTCTTTCTTTGCGACAAATAAAACATATAATTGCCAATAAAAAAACGAGGATTTTCGAATGTAAAATGAGTTTTTATTTGTGACTTTTGGTTTTCCTGTAGTTCTAATTTACCTGAGTAACCCTGTGTTATTATTTATTTATCAACGCTTGGAAATACTGTGGGTTAAACGTACACCCAACAGATCAGTGAAACTGAGAACCTCAAAATGTTGGCTGACATACACGGAGAGCAAGGCCTGTGGCATTTTCGTTATCTTCTTATTTTTATGAACATTCTGTCTTTCACGGTTGCTGTAGGCAGCAAATAATACAAACCAGTCCGATTTTTGGAGTTCAGAGGATCGATGGTTTGAAGGAGAGAAAAAGAGTTCAATTGCTTAGACTAAAACCAGACAGAATGTCGTGTTGTTACACTGAGAGAATAAATTGGTTCTGCCGAAAACTATATATTCCCTTGAAGAGATCTTTTGTCGTGTTGAATCAATTTACTTGCGGACAAAAAAGAAAGTTTCCACCAAAACATGATAATTTTCGTAGTAGCAATTGTTGACAATTACATACCTTTCGGGTAGATATATTCGTTCCACAGAGAATTATATGCGACTCCGGTTTTGCCAAGTGAATGTTATTGAGTAGTGCATATCTTTGTCTGAAAAGCACTTATAATTTTCTTGGAACAAATGATTATTTCAAGCGGAAACCACAATTTTCTTGGCGAAAACTGCATTATTGACAAAACTAAATAATTTCAAATTATTTCCGATTTTTTTTTGGGAAAAAAAAATTCTTTCTTCGTCAATGTTCAATTCGAATTCTTGTAGGGATATTTCTGACGATCATAACAAAACGTTAATCCCGGTGGCTTGGCGCAGTGGGTAAGTTCGTTGCCTCACATGCGAAAGGTTCCGAGTTCAAATCCCGGCCGGGTAGAATGGTGCGATCTAACCATTTAAAGTCTTGATCATCATCGGAGTATACCCTAACCGGGTCGAAGCGATGTAAAATAATGATAAAAAAAAAAATGTCAACTTTTGTAAAAGATATTAAATTTCCTTCTATCAATTTCAATTTGTTCCACTCCATCAAATATTCTCACCCGGACCATATAGTTTTTCGCCAGAGCTAATTTTCTCTCAGTGCGCTATCATTATCAGTTTCCAATTACCATTTTACGTAAAAGATACACTGGAATACGGAAAATGTTGGTTTCGCGTCAGTCTCGAAAGACGCAGTCGTCAAGCTTCTCTCCTGATGACTGAGTCAATTCATCTGATTTTGGGTTACAATTTTTCGCGTTTTTCATTTGTAAAAGGTCGAGACGAAACACATATCAGGTAACTTCACATGAAAAAACACGAAAAAATTGAGACCGCAACGAAATAAATTGTCTCTGAGTCACATCGTGCTTTCCGAGACTGTGACAAAGCCAAAGATCTTTGGCTTTGTGATCTCTCCCAAGTGAAGTCTCACCGGAGTCTCGCGCGCATCCCTAGTACAGATTACCAATAAAAGAATCGCGAAATTTCGACTGCACAGTAGATTCCTTATTTCCAATTTCTCTTTTCCTCCTAGTTTTGCCTCTTCCGAGGGGCCTTCACTTATCATTTATTCATCAATCCCCCGAAATCCTGGCGGCTAAACATATACCCAACATTACCAAATTACTACGGTGTAAACAAATCAGTAGAGCTGAGACAACCTCAAAATGTTGCTAAAGGCCGCAGAGAGAGACGGCGACAATACAGGGAGCACAAGGCCTGCGGCATCTTTGCGTTCTTCGGTTAGTTAGTAAAACCCGTCATTACGAGGACGTTTTACGCCCGCTTCTAGCCACCTAATAAGCGCGTCCCATCGTTGGATGATCGTCGACGTCCCGGTAAATTTTACGCTTTACCAAACGTCTACACCCATCCTACCCCTTTATGTATATTATTCAACATTAAACCTCACTAATCGTGTCCATAAAGATCATCAGAACCGGCTCAGCATGATTAAAACATGCGTCGTGGCTTCTTACCGACGATGAAAATCAGTGAGATTGATCAAATGAATAACAAGTACTTTGATTATGAAGAGCTTAGTGATAAGAGATGAATAACAATTGATAAGGTTTTTTATCCACACACGGGTATCAATTCAGGGAAAGGGAATGAGGCAAGATGAGAGAACTACTACACCAGAAGATGAGAGATGCACGGCGTGACGGCCTAATTGAGGCCTTCTTGATTGCATTTACACCGGCAAGCCAGCCTCCTGTATCCCTCGCAACATCCACCAGTAGGCATTTCCACTTCTCCTCTTTAGTATCGCGCTTCATCCTCATTCCCCCCTCTTCGCTACCTCATTTTTTTACATTTATTTATTTTCATTTATTACCTTTTTTTCAACTATCTCTTGTAACCGCCGACGTTATTATATAAACGTAGAGCCATTTGTAGGGACCTTGACGAAAAGGATTGGGATAATTTGTCCACCTGCGTCTCAGAAAAATGTCTAATGAGAGGGATAAATTATCTCAGGATGCGGGGATATCGAGTTTGAGGGAATGCGCAATTTTAGTTAATCTTTCGGTGTAAATTTCTAACTGTTTGTCAGTCGGTTGTTTCACATTCTGTCTAATGTGGTTGAATTTTTGCCTGTGGTTTTGCACTTTGTGTGGGAAAATTTGCACTTCTGGCGGTGGTTGAATAACAATCTGACACCTCGTTGCAACAATCTGAATAATTATTTTTCATCTTCGGGGGAAATTGGTATGGTTTTAGAACAAAAGATTTTCCTGGGGGATTGCTTGATTCGTGTTGCCTCAGCAAGTTGAGATGCTACAGGTGTTGTGGGAAGAATATGCGCGGAAATTTTCCTGTGTCACGTAATTTATCTGAGCAGTAAATTTTCAAAATTCGAAAATGTCCAAACGATGCGATTTGAATAAATCAAGTCTCATTCCACAGTTTCAAAAAGTACCTTCAAAGTGACAAAAAAAGTTTCATTTTACTTTGCGAGTCTCTAGATATTATTACGATATAAAATGTACATTTTATCCTTCTCTATGCGAAATATATTGGTCTTAGAACCACAGATTATTCAAGAAGACTTTCTGATTCATATTGTTTCACAACTTGAGATTCTACAAATATTGCGAAAAAATATATATGCAGAGAATATTTCTGTCATATAATGTATCTACACCGAGAAAAATGTTTTTCTTTAATCAAACAAAAATCTTTATTTGAAATTTTTTATTTCAACAATATTTTTATTACAAATGAATAAGCTTGTGTACTTGTTTCAAGAAAAAGGGTTTAATTATATTAAACAAACAATTTTTTTTATTTCAAATAAATGATTTTTTAAAATCAAATAAATATTTAGTTAGTTCAAAGAAACAATTCAATTGATTCAAGTAAAGATTTATTAATAGTAAAAAAAACAATTATTTAATATAAACAAAACTGCGAATGAAATTTCTTATTTAATTTGAAAAAACAAGTTTGGTACTATTTAAATAAAGTTATTCATTTGATTCAAATAAATAATTTTTCTGGGTGTACGCGAAATTCCTTTGAATATATGAAATACATCATTAAATTCTCCAAATCTATTTCTGAATATAGGAACTATTAATCTCCTTACATCATAAATCTCTCGTCCAAATGACGCAATTTGAATGAATCAAGTCGCATTTCCAAACTTCAAAGAATGCCTTCGAAATGAAACAAAATTGGGTCATTTCACTTTGTCAATCTATCCATATATTCATGATATAAAATGTTGATTTGCCTCTCCTCTATCCCCTATGCGGAATATTTTAAAGTACAGGTGTCTCCCACACTTTTTACAAGAATCATCACTGTGGGAAAAGGATTAATCCAACACCGATGAGACGATAATAGTACCTGCCCCGTACACATGTAAACGTGCAACAGGGACTCGGTGGCAGCGACCTTGTTTGCCATTTGGCCACACCACTCTCATCCTTTTTTCATCGTCATTAGTATCACCCGGCTCTGCCGCAACATCACACGGGTAATTTGCTCACTTCTCCCTCCTCCCTTGGTAATCCTCCAGCATCTCTCCAGCCATTTGAAGGATGAATAAGGACGGAGTAACTGTGCAATATTGCGGTGTCGCGCAATGAGATACAGTACCATCTCCGTAAAACAGGTGTTTGTGTTGTACGTGGTGAGGCTCAAGTTTAAATGACAATCTTCTTGAAGGTGAGAAGGTGAGAAGAGATTGCTTACGTTTTGCGTTTAATAGCCGGTGAGATAAAAAAATGTACGAGGGGAAAAAAATTATTAATTTCGGGTAACTGCAGAGGTAGACTGTTAGAAAATATTGAAATTTTACGGGTAATTTGGTCATGATTGTCACAAGAGTGAATAAAACTTCAAGTTTCAGGTAGAATTCAAGAGAATTCATGAATTCATGAAGTTAACTTGGAGGTAAAAGGGAAATTCCCTCACTTGCCGGTGGAAAAGAATTTAATTTCATGGATAGTGGACTAGTAATTTCCGTGGAAGGGATATTGAATTCGATTTTGGGAGGAAAAAATCATGGAATTGCAGATTTCATTGAAAATTCCATGAAATTTCTCATTTTTGAACAGTAGGAAGATGAGAATTCCCTAACTCTCTTTAATTTTCAATAAATTGATTATTCAGTTATTTTCTTGATTTTTATTAGGCTTTATTCATTTTCATGGCACAATTGAACTGAAATCCCCAGCTTTTTATTCATTTCCTGATCAAGTTATCAGAATCTCAATGAAATAATCAATTTTATATAATTGCAACGATAGTTGTCCCTGAATTTTCATTAATTTTCCGAATGTTTACGGAATAATTGAACTGAAATTCCCAGTTTTTTATTTATTTCTTGATCAAATTATTAGAATCTCAATGAAATAATCGATTTTTCAATACCGAAATTTCCGTAAATTTCTGTGGCAATGTCACTTAATAAAAATTTCCCGCATTTGATCCGAAAAATTCCGATAAATTTTTTAAGAGTGCCGACAGGTGGGATAATAAGCCAGTCATCCGAATTACGAATATAAAGAGAAAGA